CGCAGAAGGTTAGGGTTCCATTCCTGTGCCGAGAGAAATTTCTATAGCCTACTTAAATTTATCTAGCGAATTTGTGTGTAATTTGTGGTTGTCTATGTGGTCTGGTTCCCCTAGAGCTTTTCCACAAAATTCATCGCCAGTGTTCTAAAAATATCCCACTTAAAGACATTTTTAACATCCCAAGATATTTGACAAAACGCCAACGCAATTTGATGTTCCATTTTCTTTTAAAATGATTTCATTCGCAGAGACACTCAAAGGATCCTGTGAAATAATATAATAAAAGTGCCATTTATGACCCAGGCTTTCAACGTTCATTTAAATTACATCCTTACTGTATATCACGTTGAAATCAATACTGTCACTAGATGAATAGGTCAACTTCCAGGAAGTGGTCGTTATAAAGTTTCTCACATTATATTTAAATTAGAAAACATGGTATTTTCGTTTCGTTACATGACGAAAAACTCGAAGATTAACTCAAAGAAGCAATATAAAAGTAAGTTTTAATAGTATTCGGATAAAGTTTTAGAAAGAAGCTGTACCCGGAGTCCCAATGATTCTTTTTAAAACGGTTCCTATAATTATTGAATACAAAGATCGAACAGAAATAAAAAATCCTTCTACCCAAAAGAACTCGAGCCTGCGACCACGGGATTCCGTCCCCCATTGCTTGACTAACTAAGCTACAGGTCAAGAAACTTTCCGTGGTTGTTTTATGCAAAGATTTTAGAGCATATTTCAGAAAAATCGTGTTTACTTCAAGATGAATAGGGTGAAGACCAACAGCACGTAACAAAAACCGTTAAATCAAATAACACGTACCTGCAATGTTTTTCAAATACACATTTTGAACAAGAATTGAACGTGCTATGTTCAGCACAAGCTGCACTAGTGATATTACTTCCCAGTACTCCAAAGTTCAGGTTACGTATATCTTACCGTATACCAACGTAAGGTTTGCAATATAATGTGAGACTAGCATTTGTTAGAAAGCATCATATCATATTCCCGGAACTACGTCACAACCTGCTTCAACAGTTCAAAAAATCCAATATAAAATTTAAATTTTGTTAGGTAGGTAACTTGCAACATCTCTTAACATATTATTATTATTTTTGTGAAGTTAGTTATTGCTATCAAGTTATTCTAAAGGATAGGAAGTGAAATTATTTTTCTTTTTCACAATCTTACCCAATAACATTTGAGTCCTCAACTAATCAAGTACAGAAGATTTTTATAAAAAAAAGATCTTATCTACGAAACATATTTAAGTTTAGTTAGTTAACATTCAAAATTGGATACGATAGTGGAAGTGTGCTTGCGCGGCTATCGCCTGCAATTCAGTTATAATCGTAATATGCAGTTTATTAAATATCACGATTATTTTTTTAATTATTAGTATCATGATATTCAATAATTTTTTTTGTGTAAGTACGTGGAGTAGTTTGTTATAATTATTTTTGTCTGCCTCCGTGGCCGAACGGTTACCATGCCTGACTGCCATGCAGAGGTTCGATTCCCGTGTCGGGAGAAATACTTGTATAGTCTACATTTGTTTCTCTCGTGAGTGTAATTTCTTTGTGGTTGTCTATGTGTGTGTCTATGGCACCCGCGATACAGGTGTTCCCAAGTGCGGGACTATGAGTATGTGAGCGTTAAAAAAAAAATACAAACATAGAACTACTTAAGAAAAATACCTTCGATCTGGCTGGATTCGAAGCAGTGCCCTCAGCTTACCGTGTCTGACGCTCTTTAACGGAGCCTACAAAACGAACCAGCTGACCTCACGAAATTTTCTGTTATGCTTGTTGCAGATATTTGTTTTCGGTTACAAAAATTTTAAGGTAACAATTTTTAATCACAGGTATTGTTTTTATTTTCACACCATTATTTACCAAGTTAGCGCATCGTACACAGCGAAGGAGATAAAAGGTTGCAACCGCTGAAGGTGAAATTGCTTGGGCTTTAGTATAAGTCAGAAACTGTTGCATTATTCCTTTAAAGGACCACGTCGAATGCGCATATACTTGCGCTCGATCATACCATTTGCGACTGGATGGTAAGCGGCAATACGTATCCGTTTGGTAGCGAAATTTTGCAAAAAAAAGGTCGGATTTTGAGCACCACGATCTATTGTAAGTACTGAAGGTACCTCGTATCGTGCGGTCCATTCCCTGATGAAGGTTTCTGCTACCTCTTTTGCCGTTGTTGTCCGCATGGGCCACACTTCAGACCATCTGGTTAATGTCAATTGCCGTGAGGTAATAACGTTAGTCATTACAAACCGGTAGTGGATCTATTATGTCCACGTGGACGTGCATGAATTGACCAGATGGCGTATCAAAATTGCCTAAGGGAGCGAAATTATGACGAGCTATTTTGCTGCGCTGGCAGGCTTGGCACACTCGAGACCGACTTCGATAGTCTTTAATTATGGATGGCCAAACTTACCGACCAGTTACGTAGCGGGTTGGTGTCATGACCCTTAGTTTCTGATAAAATAAATAGACTTTACTATTTAATAGATTTAATTAGATGTAAAATGTGTAACATACATCGCAAGCACAAGTGACATGTCCGTGAGCCAGGCAAGAAGAGAGCGGGGGAAGCGAATGAGCAATTGCAATGTGTTGGAGACAAATTATTGCTCATACCTACATACCGCTTTTCTATTAATCAAATCATATCATATATCATATCAAATCAAACCACGTAAATGTCGTGACAACCGAATTAGCGTGAGTTACGGAAATCTATTGTTATCAATCCGTAGACAACATAAATTAATGCTTACTGTGCAAAATAACAAACTAATAACGTTAAATTCTTCTTCTATGAAATTTGGTTTGGTGCAGATACGAGCATTTTACCAATACCGTGAAAGGGTTGTAACCCTAACTAGCCGTGAACAGGATCACGGCAATGAAATGGGAAACTTCCGGTCCACAAAATTTATTAAAGAAGTAAAGTTTAAAGAAAGGCTGTAACAATATAAAGGTAAATGTAAAAAAACAGGTATAACAGTATAAAACACACTTACACTTTATTATTAAGGCACTTACTCCTAAATGGGCCAAGAAACTGAATTACAGAAATGGATATATGAAGGGTGTAGACTTATAAATTATTACACATGGTTAGCTTATTAACAGCTCTGACTGTTGTGGCGGTCGAGCTGGGAGTGACCGTGGTACGAAAACAAAATGAGAAAATGAAGGAAGATGGAACAATTCAAATTTAAAATTTAAATACAAGTAAAATAAAAAAAATGATAAGATACAAGAGGAGAGAGGCGATACAAAGAGGTGAGATGACGGTGTAAGGAAGTCACACCGTCACAACTGTAGCTGATTTTACAAACTTTAAACAAGACGCTTGATTTTTCATCTACATACTTTTTACTGCCAAAAAGCAAAAACAAGAAGCACCAAATCGTGGTGAAACAACAGAATAGATAACTAATAACTACCACTAATATGTTATATAAAGCTATAATTGAAAAAACTTATCTCCTGAGTCTTATGACTTCCACTCTACACATGCAATAAGAATTATAGCGTCGTAGACCAGCGGTGTCGGAGTAAGCATTAATAAGGACTTATCTTTCTTTCTATTTATTTCTTAATACCCTCTTAAGTTACGACTCCTTTTTTACAGAGTGGAGAACAGAATTTAGAGTTTAAGTATTCTCAATGAATGGGGATCCGAATGAACATCTTAGACAGTAAAAGAGTGAATATGTAATGCATTTTATATTTTTAGGATAGAGGATGCGGATGACAAGAATTTATAAATGCTCAGGTTTCACGCCTTCTTCTTCTGTATATCTTCCAAGTGTGGAGCTTCGCCACAAATTTTGCGAACGATAGGATAAGCGTGAATACGCCAGCCCAGTTCGGAACTGTTCAGCGTACATACATTCAGAAGATCAAATTTGTTCGTTGGTTATATCTAAATTTTGTGGAGGAAATAAAGAAATATTATTATTATTATTATAACCGTAAATACGCAAAGGGTACAATATAACAACGCGTTCAGGATGTTGTTGGGGTTATTGCGGCACTGTAGCGCTTGAGGCATTCAGCGGGTTGCCTCACTTTGGCGACGTGGGCGTGGTTGCCCCAAGAGCTTCTGAATGTTGTGGCGAACAGAATCGACTGCCCCATCCAGGCCCATTGGATGTAACTCCATCTGGCGGTTTAGTTTGAGTCTATTTTATTTTATGCGTGATAATCAATGTCAATATTATATTTAATGTAATATCCAAATCTTAATTCCGTGATTGAATTATAATTTTAATTTATGATTTTATAGTCTTTGAATTTTAATTTATTTTAAGTTTGAACGCTGCCTTCGCGCACTTAAATAGAAAATGCAATTTTATCTTATTTTGTTTTAATTTTAATATTTGAATTGTATCACTATATACTAACTTTATTACTAAGTTGTTTATAACAAATTGTAGATAATTATTTTTGTCTGAAATAAAATATTATTATTATATATAATATAAATATTATTATTATATTACATGCACCTGGTAAACACACCACTTAAATGACACTTGCCGCACCCTTTACTGGCTGTCTGAAACTTACTCCTGCTGGTATTCGTGACCGTCACTTGTGAGTAATCCAGAGGCTAAAGATATGCCATAGCTTCATTAAATAAGTATTCCCTCTGAAAGAGCAAACTAACCAAGTCCGCATAAGTCTGTGGCGTGTACGACACCCTGCCATATCTACTTAAATTAATAAATAAATGAATTACATGAATAAATATACGTAGGTTAAAATAGTTAAGATAATATAACATGTAGTAATAATATAAGCACAGCAATTATATACATTCCATAGTTAGATATAATAATGTAATATGTATTAAGTACTTATCATGTAGTTAGCTGTCGCGTCGGAAGGTGGTCGTCGCGAAAATCGTAACGTATAAATATGTTAACAATCCGATGACGCTTGCGCCGGCCTCCCGCCAGTCGCCCGCTAATCATGTTATGAGACATTCGCTCGCCCGCTCACCCTTCATTCGCGCTTACGTTAATATCCGCTATTATCATCCTTTCTGCCTTAGCTAATAAACTGCTTACTAGTGTTGTGCCTGTGCCCTTCTCTAATAAACTTATAACGCGTAATAAACTAATAGTGTGTGTAGACGGACTTATCATTTCCCGCCTTAAGAACAATACCTGCGATCAACAAATACCGTACGTACCACTACAAATAAAAAAAAGCCCAATAAAGTCGTACTAAATAAGCAAAACTAAAAATACCCAAAACAAAACGTTTTCTAAATAACTCGTATGTAATGTGTGGAAAAATTTTTAATCGTATACCAGATCGCATTAAGCCTCTACCATTGACTAATTTTAAAAAGGAATTGCGCATGTGGCTCTTTGATCATTTGTTTTACTCTATTGACGAAATCATGAATCCTAAAGAATAATTAATTGATGCATACATTTTTCCCATCATTAAAAAAATATATATTATTATTAAATTATGACATACACGATTCTGACATATCAAATTAAATCAATTATCTTAAATTTATCAATTTCTTGCCTAATTATTGTTTTAAAATCGAATCTCAATCCACCAATGTATTATTTTATTATTGCATTTGCATGCTTTTATTTTAGAAGGCCGAATAGGTTTAAGTTCTGATTTAATTTTTACCATCAACATGTGTAATGTACCCTACCCTATTTGAAGCGAATAAAGAATTATTATTATTATTATTATTATTACACTGGCGACTCCGACGTGATAGAAGGAGGAAAGGAAAAAAAGAAAGGGTCTCTGGAAGGAGAGATACCCCACGGAATCACTTATTCACGTACTACTGCTTAGCAGCAGAAATAGGTAAGGTGGAAGTAGTTCTCTGAACGAACTCTTTTACAGGGAGATCTACTACTATTATGTTATTGAAGATTGGTAAATGGTAATAAATAAACTTTTATTTATTTAAAAATATACGTTGAGAGTTTACAGTGTCACCCAAAGCACTCACAATGCTAGTCATAAGTCAATACTTAAAATTATAAACAATAAGACAGAAAGAAAATAAAACAATGAAATAATAATAATCAATAATGGTAAGTGCACTTTATGATGATGTCAAGTAGTTATTCAAAAAAATGTCAAAATTATATATTAGTTTCGGTAACTTGTACGTGAGCACATCGGCATCACGGAACTAGACCTAGAGTAGAATATATTAGTTTTGTAAGGTTGTTACAACCAATGGAACGAGTGAGTTTTGGTTCAAGTTATTTATAAAGAATTATCACCCTGAAGTTATTCATGATTATATCCTGATTCCTGAGTGATAAATGATACAAATATAATGTAATAATGATGTTTATTGATAATTATAAAAACAATAATATAATTAATTATCTAAAGTAAATAACCACGTTCAAGCTTGTAACGTATCTAAATTTCATTGTAACTTTGCTACGCCCTTACAAAGCATCACAAAAAAACAAAAAAAAATTGTAAGTTTAATCTGTATCACGCATGTGAAATGCAAATAAATGAATATGAATATGAGAGAGAGACAGAGATAGAGATATATTTATTTGTAATATGAAAAATATCAATACTGAAGTACTACATTTAACAGAAATTATTTCAATATAACACGAGAATACTATTATGAACACCTTCATGTTTTAAATTACGTTTACAAGCTGTAGGTACAACTCATATAATAATGTGACAACCTTGCGCTCCGAGCGAAGTGTAGGATTTTACGCGCCAAACAGGCAAGTTGCCCAACCTGTCTCATTATAGGTAGTATGGCGAGAGTCTAAAACAGATTCTTAAAACAATAATATTATTATTAGGACTCACCATATCATACACATCCTCCCAATAATCCAGCGTAATCAACTGGAAAGTAGTAAGCATCGACCACAAGAAGTTGTCGAAGTTCGTGAATCCATGGTTAGGGTTGGGCCCCACACACAGGCAGGTGTACTCCAACGGACAATGTCTTGCCCCGGTCAGATTTCCGCAAATTATAGGCACTTCATCGTTGTCCACCATCCAGTGCAGTGGGTCCTTTATCCACCTGTGAAAAGACGAGAAGTTTTTTGCAAACAACTTTAAAAATCGACCTCAATAGTACGTGGAATTACATCTATTTGCCGAGTTTTGTTGTAATCGGTTACCGGAAAGTGCGCGAAACCTAATTCATACGGATCAGATGTGGGCAACATTTGTCAACGTCCTATTTTCTATTGGTCATTGGTTTACATTATGTACTTAAAGCGATTTGTGTTATCCAATCACCAGATAATAGTACCGTCCATCTGATGGAAAATGATTTTAGTAGTAGAAGAGCTATTTATGAAAGGGTTCGTCTAGCAAAGCACTGCCACCTTACCTATTTCTGCCACCAATGTGTTTCGGTTTTAAACGGTAAGGGTGCTGGTGAAATTACAGGCACATGGGACTTTAACTTTTGTCTCAGGGTGACAGGCGCAATGGCAGTGTCCCTTAGATCTTTGCGATTTAAAGATCTGAGTAACACTGCAACTGCCATGGACAGGTGTGTCGCTTAACATATTCGTCCTGTCACTTGGTTTCACAAAGAGACTTTACACGCCTGTCCATAGCAGTTCCACCGCCAAATAAAGCTTTAAATCGCAAAGATCTAATGGGCACTGCGCCCGTCACCAAGAGAAATACGTCAACAAGTCCTATGTGTCTGTAATTTTACGTTAAGAAGAACAGTATTTTTTTAAATTAAATATAGTGATGAACTTCTCGACACATTTTACTCTACTCGACACGTTTTAATCCGACAGCATTCGTACCCTATACATACTCATCATTTTCTCAACCACACCTCATCGGAGAAAGTTCTTGTCGTGTACAAGACCATTCTCATTTTTGTAGCAGACACGTTGTATTTCTTAGCGTGTACACGCGCCCTAATAGTTTATTTTAAGTTATTTTGTTTTAAATTTCAATGCATTACATTGTTAATTTTTTTTTTCTGTCATGTCCACATTTGCATGCTGTGGCGACCTTTAATTGAGAATAGCCCTAATGGTGTTAATCGAGATATAGAAACTCTTTTAAGTTAATGGAAATTTAAATTTGTTGTTCTGTGCATGGGCAGTTTCACCACGTATGTAAGTTTCAAATGTACTTTTCATAACACCCTGTGTAAATGAGTTTAGCATATTTTATTTTAATTCTACTTACCTTTACTTTGATAGTCAACTATGGAAAATGAACAGACAGCTATTGTGGAATACTATCTGTATATACACTGTCACCCCAAGCTCGCCAGAGCAGCCGCCAATCGCAAAGGGCTCAAATACACTAACGTCAGCTAGTAGAATCCGGTATAAGCCTCTGTATCACTCTTTCAACTTTATTAAAAAAAAAAAAAATACTTTATTCTTCAACACTACAACGAGACATAAAAACTTAAAGTAGTGGCTTAAAATCTAATTCAGTGTTGAAGAAAAGGTAACAGCCTCAGAAATTTTCTGGTTTTCAGGCTTCACCTTGTATATAACGTAATATATTTGTCACTGTAGACACCGCAGTATACAGTATCTAATAAAGTATGTAACTAAGAAATCACCTCACTCACCGCAATTATACACTATTATATTATACTACAAAAACTCCAGTTAAAATTCCTATACAAAACCACAAATGATACGCACCGACCATGCAACAAAAAGTGTAAAAATAATTTTATTACATATATATAATAGAACAGGCAGATAATGAAATTTAATTGTATATTGTTAATTGTAATTATAATCTGAATTATTATATTAGCTTAGCAGAACCTTCTCTACCTTCAACCGACAGCACGAAGTCTTCTGTTGTTTCAGCAACAGTTTTAATTGTTGGTCGAAGATCATTCTAACATTTAGAAGCTTTATTATATTTAATTTTAATTTTAATTTTATATTTAATAATAAGATTTACTATATTTAATTCATGACTTGTTGGTTGTCCTCAAAATAAATGAATAAATATTGTAAATGATAAATTTATACAATGCTTATTTACAAGCAACTCCTAGAGTTTCTTATTAACATGACGATTTAATGTGTACTTTGTTTATGTACTAAAGGTTATTTGAATTTGAGTTTGTAATAATTGAATGCCATCTTACGGCACAATAATTAAATTTCATTGTATATACTGACAATTACGAGGGTTGTGACAAAGTGGTAATACATCAAGTTTCTAACTATAAATTAGTCTGGTATAAACCACACAATTAATAATACAAACGCGCACAATCATATTTCAGCTCGTGATTATATTCACGATAAACAAGGAATAACGACCCACGTATTTTGTGTAAAATTAAAAATTAATAATAATATATATGTAATAATTAATTAATAATAATTGGCAAATTACACTTGAAATCGTTGTACCGATTAAATTCTACCTTTGAACAGGGCCACGGGGCCATAGTTTATAGAAAGAAGGATGGCGAAAGCCCCAATAACAACAAAGTGCCATTAATGGATATTGCAATTATTATTTTGTGTTTTAGTTTATGCCTAGTTCTCAGGGACCGCAGCGACCTTATTTTAGTCATTTTACAAAAACTATAAACCATAGATGGTTGCGCGACCATGATATCCTCGAGGAGAAGAGGTACATCTCTTTAGTAGTCCTGTGACATGTGTCGCAAGCGCACATGTGTCTTTATTTATGTTTGCGGTCTCAGATTCTGCGCGCGACCGGTCGTGTTCCAGAAAATTCATGGAATGAAATTGAAACCTGGGTGAGTATTTCATGTTATTTGGACTATATTATTTAACATAATTAATGTTAATTGTTGTCTATCTATACAATTCAAATTTTGCTATTGGCGCTCTGATTAGCTTTCCTATATCTCAAAGGTTATCTGGAAGAGATCGCTCTTCTTCGCCTAAATTTCAAATTTTGAATATTATGTGATTTCGTAAAGATTATTTAGATACGTTTATTTTATTAAAGGAAAATTATTTATGTGGTCTGTGGAAAATACTTTAGTCTAGGTAATTATTTATGGTAGTATAATTTACTTCTTATGTTCAGTGTTTTATTTAAGGTACCTATTTGTCTTTATTTAACTTAACTGATGTAATTTACTGTTGTTTTAGTATTTAATAAATAAAATAATTAGTATACGTAATGATCATACTATTTACATATAGGTATACAATAT